TTAAATTCTGTTGGTGAAAAATCTATTTTTATTTTTCAATAAAGAATTTAGAAACTCTCAATATTTTTATTACCTACTTAAGCGACGGCAATTGAATAACTACTGTTGTTTCTCGTGTCCAATTTACAATTTCATTCCGCAATCGTAATTATTTAAACGCAAATAGGTCGTTGTGTTTTCACATTCCTAAAGTGGATTATTCGTAATTACACTTTTACGAGTATATCTGTCGAAAACAATAGGTGTTTCTATATTTATAATACTTTGTAAGTTGTCCTTCTTATACTATAGACGTAAAATATAATGTAGATATTTGTTACTCAATCACGTTTAAATTGTTATATGATATTAAATATAGTATGCTGATATACAGACTGCAGATTACAGACAGAGCTGCAAACACAATAAGGATATTTTTCATCTTGATACAGCTGGTACGTACATATGACAAAATGAGTAACAATGTAATTAAAACAGCGTAAAAACCAAATTAGTGTTGTTTTGAATATCAACATCGATTGGCATTATTACGATATGCACTGCAATTTATATAATTTGAGAACTGTCATATCAGTTTGTTTATCCTCTCCTCTCTGCGTAATAAAGATACAACTCGGAACAATTAATGTATAATCAGTTAACAATTAAAATTAATTATTCACATAATAATAAGATAATAGTACGGAATCAACATGGACGTAAATGTTTTATTTGCAATATAATCATAAGAATTAAAAATATTTCGTTTTATATTAACGAACACAAATAAATTGCTTCTCATCAACACACATATATAAGGATATTTTATTTAGTTTTCCTGTTCTGCTTAAGGGGTTTACCTGTTTAAAAAGCAGGCTAAGAAGAGGGGAACTCAATGCATAACGCATTGTATCAGATTTAAGTGATGAGCTTCGGTTACATATAAAATATTCACTGAGCATTGCACAGTAAGGACTATCGAATTTATAAAATCTTCACAGAGATATGAAGGTCCGCGCATACAAGGAATTTTGTCCGCCGAGGATTAAACTTCTCTTTATGAAATCCGAGTATTCACATGGTTACACATTTTTTTATGCAGCTTAGAATGGCAAACTAGCTGATGGAAAGTGGTAACTGTCGCCTATAAACATGAGCATGATAAAAAAAATAGAAATTCTATACATTCCGATCCGCTCTATACATAGAATCATTATGATTAGATTACCAATTTAAAGGAATATTAAAAAAAAATGTTAAACTCTTTAAGGCGATGGACTTAATTGCGCTTTTGCAACGCAACATCAAAGGTGTCCCAGCGTAATTACTGCCTTCCTACCAGTGTGTTCCCGCTAACTCGGCTCCGCTGCGATTAAGCGATTCAATTTTCAAAGTGGCAAATTAATGAAGATTTTTTTACCTTTTTCCCCCACTTTCGAAATATAGATGGTTTCTTATAAAATTCAGAAGAAATCTCTTCTGAATTTTATGCAAAATATTATATATTGAAGCAAAATTTAAAGTTGTGTCTGATGGAATCGGTGAAATATATGTATTCTAATTAGTCAATAACATAGCCATTTAACATTTTATAAAGTTGCAATATTAAATAAATATTAATTTATTCATAAATATTATGTTAATCCTCTTTTGACTTTAATAGTATTACTTCGAGAAATTATATGACTAATAAAATTACTTTCAGCTGAAACAAGGACTAATTTCATTACCCTATCTTCAAAAAAATTGCCAATCCTTTAATTAAGTCAAATCACGCTTGCTTAACCCGATTTCCTTTTAAGAAGTCTATTAGCCTGTAGGGAGTATTTAGGAAGAGCTATGGGCTAAATTACATCGAGGTAGTACAAATGAATTTAAATTTAAAAGAGTTTTATTGCGAAAATTATCAATAAAGCTACAAGTTTCATAAAATTTAATCAAATATTGAGATAAATGTTCTGTTTTTTTTTCTGTAACGCTACAATTTCCAGTTTCTAGATTTATCCCAGAATGTATTCTGATACCCATAATATTTCTCTGCGTTATTATTTTTTAAGTATAATGTATTATGCTTCTATATTTTATAATTTTACTGTCATGTTTCATATTTTAACCAGTAACATTGAGAGGACGGTACTCAGCAGAGTACCTAACTCTGAAAAAAAAACCGACATACAGTCATGCAAATACAATTGCTTAATTTTAACTACTTTGGTGCCATGTTTATTTCTAGGCTCACATATCCGTCAGGTTTATGTACAAAGTTTTCACGATATCATATCAAATTTCAATTTAAAATTATGGAAATATTTGAAAATAAGCTCTTAATGGCTTTTAACGTGATTTAGAATCTGTTATCATTATCCGGTTGAAAAACATGCGTTTGTATCTAAATTCGATTATGTGAAAAACAGTAAAAAAACAAACAAACAAACAGTAAATAATTGTTTTTAAATTGAACATACTCTGTAAAGTAAGAAAACTGGCGATAAACAGATAAAAATACATTCATCGCTTATCTGACTTAATGTAAATAAAAACAATCAATTGCGAAAATAACATCTATCTGCAACCGAGATTTTATTTACACAAATAATGTCAATACAAAAGAAAAATAAAGAAATTGTTTATTATGTATGATTCTCAACTACTACATGGGTAATGTCTCTATCTATGTGAAACCCCACTTTCTTATCATTTACATTGTCAATTTTTGTAATGAACTCTTTTAACATTTAAATTGACTGGTTCTACCTCAGAGCAATTTGGCTCGTAGCTCTTTTCTAGAATGGTCCCTGCGGGCTGTAATAGCTTTCATAAAAGGAAATCGAGTTAAACAGGCGTGATTGACTTAATTGTGGCAAAGCTTTATTTCTTAAGATTAAAGAATTTTCTGTAGAGGTCAGCGTAACTAAATTAGATATGTCTTATTTCAGATAACAATTTTTTTGCATAAGTAACAAGGTCCTCTGAGGAACAACTGTTGCATTAAAATTTGTCTCTAGATTACAGATTAAAGTATTCGGCCGAGCAAAGTGAAAAGTATTTCGGGTACTTTTTGAATATGTTTTTTTTTTAATGGGTAATAATGGAATAATAATGTAACCCCGCCTGCGCTATCGGTATACACTGGCGGGGCACCAGTGAGAGATAATTGGCAAGGATAAAAGCAAGTCAGTTAGCCCATGCATCGTGATGAATTCCATGAGAATTAACCACGACGGTTTCCAAGGAGAACAGCGTGGAGGTCGACCAGTTAGGGTGTATTGCTAGCAATGAGTCACTTAGACCCCATTACTACCAATTCCTTTTCCCCCTTTCGAATATGTTAGAATAAAAATGACAAAACTAAAGATAGCAAAGATATTGTGTAACATACATATGTACAAAAAAATACATGCTAATTTAAACCTCCTTCTTTCGGATATCACATAAAAATCTCTTCAGTCGTACACTCTTGGCAGAGTGGTCGTGGTTTTCACAATGACGGTGGATCGTCGGTGAGGCTCTCCTCCGCGATTGAGGTCCTCGCAATATGTCTCCATCTACTTCTGTTCGTCGCCGAGCGAGAGCTTTCCAAAATAGATTGCTGTGTGGCCGTTTTGATGAGGTCAGTCCATCGCGTTGGCGATCTACCCCGAGAACGTTTGCCTTGTACCGCTCCTTGGACAATTAAACGTTCTATACAATCTTCATTCCGGATGATATGGCCGAAGTACTTGAGAATTCGTATACGAACAGTTGACGACAATCTCTCTCTGATTTTCAGTTCGTTCAGAATGGAAACGTTTGTTCGAAAGCCAGTCCAAGGTTTTAGCAGCAGTCGTCGCCAGCACCACATCTCTAGAGCATCAATTTTTCGGCGTTCTTGTTGCCTGATCGTCCAAGTTTCTGCAATATACAGAAAAATTGGAAAAACCAAACTCCTCATTATATGCATTTTGGTATTCTTTGTAATATTGCGGTTCTTCCAGATTTTATGCAGTTTACTCACAGCTGTTTTTGTGATAGCACATCTCCTTTTTATTTCGTCCTCACATCCTTTAGTATTTGTGATCGTGGAACCAAGGTATACATAACTCGTAACAACTTCACAGTTGCCGATTGTCATAATATTTGGTCTATTGTGTTCAGCTCTGTCCACGATCATCATTTTGGTTTTGGTTCTATTAATTTCGAGTCCGAAGGAGAGGCTTACAGTCTCCAAGCGCCTTAAAAGCAACTCCATGTCTTTCTCAGATTCTCACATGAAAATACAAGCGAAATATTATTGTTTATCCCGCAGTTTTGTCCACGTGAATTAGTACATAAACAATTTTATATACTAAGTCAGTATAAAATCTATCTGTGTACCAACTTTTATTCAAATCCGTTCAGTAGTTTTTGAGAAAAAGAGAAACAAACATCCATTCATCGTTTCAAACTTTCACATTTATTATATTAATAGGATGTTTGTGGCTATAATGCTGGTATTCTGTCATCTAACAGATTTCTACTCGTACGTTACGTTACAGACACGAGTAAATCAATAACATTAGCTGTTGTTGTTATATTAAAAATGACAGTCTTATTAAAGTTGCAGGCCCTGCTTGTTTAAATGTACATATATATAAATAATTACTTCGTATTTCATTTGTCTATTTATAAGAGTTTTGATATTCTAATACATTCAATATTGATTTATACAGTCCTAAATTCAATCCAATTAGATGTTTTATTAAAATAGAGATAATTGAACAAATTGCTTCGATTAACTACTCTATTATGTCCTTGATTTATTATGGAATAACCCATTACGATTATTATATAATTTGTGTTATTTTTGTAGAACTTATACATGACAGATATGTAAATATATGATTTTAACTTCATAAATTTACTCACTTTAATGGTAAGCGATAATTGTCGCCTATAGGGATGAGCAGACCGTGATAGAATACACGTATATTTACACACATAGTTTATGACGTACATGATATTAATTGTAATTTACACTCATATCTGTTCCAATCAAAATACGATTAAATATTTTTATTCACTATATATAATTAAATATTTCCTAATATAACTCAAATATTGATTAGATATTTATTGTACATTAGTATACATATTATACGAGAAAAAAAATTCGTGCCCTGCAAAGAAATTTCAATGGTTTTTTTTTCAATGGATGATAATAGAATGGTAACCCCGCCTACATTAACGGTATACGTTGACGGGGCATCAGTGAGGGATGATAGGTGAAGATGATACGGCGGGTCAGTTAGCCCACCGTGATGAATACACCTGGAATTCAGCACGATGATTTCCAGGGGGAATCACGTGGAGGTCGATCTGATAGGGTATATTGCTAGCAGTGGGACTGATAGTTCGCATTACTAACAATCCCTTTCCCCCAAATTCAATGGGTTGTGAAGAATGATAACAATATAAATATTTAGTTTTTGTATTTTTTTTAATGAAAATGATTTAAAAGAAAATAAACTTAACAGGAAAATGAAAACAAAATTACAAATAAACTAGAACTAAAACTAATCTTACTATAAACATTTAATTATTTTACATTTGGCAATTTTTTAATCACACAAATTATTGGAATATGGTTTTTACATTTCAAAATAAATATAGGGGATTCTACTCGTATTTATTTGATAAATAATCCATCAATATATCGTGTTGTTGTTTAATAATTCTTATAAAATGTCATTTAATTTAACATTTCCCTTAGCTGGCGTCGTAGAATTTTCCCTCTCGTGTTCCGCGGAATTTCATCCAGGAATATTACGCCACCCCTAAGCTGCATATATGGAGCTACCTGATAAGAAAATAAAGTAAAATTAGAGGAGTAAAAGCACGCGTTCTTTCAAACTCGTTAGTGTTTGTTATTATCAAGATTATATATTCCAGATTAATGATGAAGAAGAAGTGCGTCTTTGTTGTGTCTTTGTTTTATTGAATTTTGATTATTAACTCATAAGAGTATAAGATATTATGCCGACCCCAAATAATAATTCGGATAAGAGTAGGAAGATGATGAAGAGTTTAAGATATGAAGTACGTAAAAATCAAGCTTTCGGTCCTATAGTACGTTATATAATACTAATATTATAGTTGGCACAACTTAGATATACCGCATATTTTTTTTAATAATGGTTATTGGAAGTGCCAATATTTGTAACAAAGTGAAGGACAACAAAAGAAATTAGAATTTTTTATTCGATTTGCTAGTATATCAATACATCTGTTAAGAAGTATTAGGAAAGTAAATAAGTAGACATTTTTCGATAGTTTACCTCATTGGCAACGTAATCGACTAATTCTTTATCAGTGACGCTGGTGCTAGATTGTTTCACAACAAATGCTGTTGGCTCCTCTCCGTAGTCTGGCACTGTTTTTCCTACTACTGCAGCCTCACGAACACCTGGGTGAGTCAATAATATTGACTCTAATTCTAAAGGAGCAACCTTCGCAAAAAAAAATTGATTAATTATTTTTTTTTAAGGCAATAAATTTAGGAAACTTTAGCAGGTTGATTAAAAAGTATACAATGAAACTATTACTTAATCTAATTTAAACGAAGTCGCATGGCTTAACACAATTTTAGAGTTTTATCAGTACGAGTATAAACTTTACATAAAAATATATTTTAATCTTGAAATTATTACATTCATCAAGTAATATAAAAAAAAATATAGTAGATATATTACACAACGTCATAACAACAAGTAAAGCTTGAACTTAAAAATATTTATTATGGTTTTTTATATCTTTTTTTTTTGCTTTTATTCTATTCAACACATCTGTTTTTACAGCTATTAATAATAAATAAACTTTTAGAATTGATACAAGTCAGTACAAATTATAATATAATTACCTTATAGCCATCGTAAACAATTATGTCCTTGAATCTATCAACGATGTGGAAATATTTGTCTTCATCGTAGTATCCGAAATCGCCAGTTTTAAAAAAGTTTTCTTCATCTAAGTACGTTGAAGGGTCGATACCCATGTAGCCTTTCATAAAAACTGATCCCGCTACCCGAATCTCACCGCGTTGGTTTGGACCTAGGATCTTGTTTGTTTGAGGATCTACAACCTAAATAAATAATGATTAGGTGAACATCTAAATATGTTATTATTGTCTTTCTCTTGTGTATTGTTATTGCTTTGTTTTCTTGTTAATCCTATTTTCTACTATCAGAGATTTGGATGTTTTATTGCTTCAATGTTAGTAACTTAATCACGCTTAAACGGCTAAATAGATACCATTAATAGTATTGGTATAGGGTTTTATTTCTACTTTTATTTTCTTAGACTGCTGTACTATACTACTTTTAATGGGTGAACATGGAATGGTAACCCCACCTGCGCTATCCATAAATGATGGCGGGGCACCAGTGAGAAATGATAAGGATGAAGATGAAAGTGTACTATACTTTGTTTACTCAGTCGTCTTTAATAAGATCCTAAGGATAGAAAAAACGCGATACTCGATGCGTGTGGAAACATAGTTTAGTTGAGAGAATTTGAATAAAATTTGCAACATAAATAGAACATAATTCTGGATTAATACAAAGGTTTGGTCATTTTCAATAAGTGCGAATCCTATCTAATTTTAGTGGGATTTTTCTCTTTTGTGTTTGTCTTGAAGTCGCCAGAAAAGTGGATGTCCTCGATATATAGAAGAAATTTTTTATAAAATACTTTTTGGAGATATCAACTTTTCTGAAGACTTGGAAGCAATAAAGTTTATCGAAATTAGACAGAAATATCACTTGCTGATAATCACCCAGTGTATTTGTATTAAGAGATTTTTCATTATATTTTCCAATAGTCGGTAGTTTGAATATTAATAACTCAATCGCAAAGAGCTAAACGTATTTAAAAGAAATTTGGTATGCAGATAGACAATGTCTAGGCAATAGCATTTATTTTAAAAATGAATTAAAATAAAGTGTTAAATATAATACTTATTAAAATTTGTTTATACCTTTATTATTAGTCCAGGAGAGGCCATTCCGACGCTACCTGATTTCGGGCCTTTTATACCCCATATCTCGGAAGTAGGTTCACCACATTCAGTCATGCCATAGCCTTGTAAGATATTTTGTAAGCCAGGGAATCTGATGAAAAATAATATATTACTATCGAGGCCGAAAATATACAAATTTAGTACTCAATAATATTTTAACTAAATGACGACCTTAATAGTTATTTCGTTTATTTCGAAAAATGTGTATAGTAAAAATCAATAATCTTAAACTAAGACGATTAGATTATTTTATAATTTTAAACAAATAATGATAGTGAACAATAAAAACTATATAAAAATCTACCTCATTCATTACGATAACTACACGCTTAGTTAAATACTGAGAGTTCTATTACATTGACTTGTATTTTTTAAATAACATTGCTACTGGGAATGACAAACAAGTTAAGGGCCGACCAGATGGAAATCTATAAGCGTAGCCTATAGATATAATACCGTGGACATAACAGAGGTACACTGTTCTGTCTATGATACCCCCCATGTGTTGCCATTCCCGAGGACTCGGGTGTTATTCCTCTGTACCCTGTGTATTTGTTAACTAATACACAGGGTACAGAATAACGGTTTGTAACCGAAAAAGATAATACTTTTTCGTTTACAAAGCAGTAATTCCAGTGTTGCTGCATTTTATTCTGAACAAGTTAACAAATACACTAGAAGCGAATCCTAAAAAACTCTAAATCAGCTGTTAATTGTCCACTGCTGAACATAGACCTTTCCCTATTGGGGAGGTTTTGCCAGTAATTATCAAGTTTGGCAGGCGGATAGACAATCGCATTCAGGCTGTGATATTTTAAGAGAGACGCCACTGGCGACCCCTCTACCATTAAGTTCCCTTAGTCACCTCTTAAAACAACTACGGAAAAAGAAGGTATGGTCCATTCTATGGCCCGGACTACACGGCGAACACCGGAGAATCTACATATTTGTAAATAAATAATTGGAACTAGTTATAGTTTAAGCAGAAAATGATGAGATGATCTCATAAGATGTGGCAGTTTATTGCATAATTAGTTTTTTTTATTTTTAAATAGAAAATTAATTAAGTTTTTCCCTAGTACTCTAATATCTAATGAAAAGGTGGAATCGCATCAGTATCACCTCTCTTATTGTAAGTACTCTTGGGCGATATTAGTGATTTTTTCCTAGGTCGATTTTCCTAGGTCGATTTTTTCGTAGAACGGTCAGCTTAGATAGATAGATAGACAATTTATTTACATTACTTACAGCACACAAATTACAATAAAAAAAACCATACACGTAATACACAGCAAAAGAGACAAAAGAATAAAAATAAAAAAAAGCACAAATAAAAAAAAATACAAAAACAAAATACATAATCTAACAATCTCCTTTGTTACCATTCCTTCATGCGTGTGCCATAGTAACACAAAATGGTCACAGCTCAGTTTATTGCTTTGCCCTTAAAAGAGCAAAACACTGATATTTTGGTGTGGCCAAGAGTCAGTCGCGAAACTTTTCATTAAAAATTTACAATATTATATATATATATATATATATATATATATATATATATATATATATATATATATATATATATATATATATATATAACTGCATTGTATGTGTCCATTATATTTGCCTCCACTTGACATTATATTCTACATAAATAAATAAATAACAGATACCATTAGATGAGGGGTAGTCAGAGATCACTTTCTGTCACATTCAGATATTCAGGCAATAAATATTTCGGCTACGTACCTATTGGGTATTCCAATTTTTTGTTTATTAATTAAAAAGATTTTAAGTTTTTTTTTTAAATGTGTTTACTATTAGACAATCTTATTGGGGGTGGTATATTATTCCAGCATTTCGTAGCTTGGTAGCGGAAACTTCCCTCAAACGCCACAGTTTTATGAGGACGCCCTGCTAATAAGTAGCGCGTGGGTCTTGTACTATATTTGTCATGGAAAGAATTAAATTGTAATTTAGAATATAGATATTCCGGTCGCCGATACTTTAAGATGTCAAATACTGTACAAGCGAGATGAAAGTTTCTCCGAGAGGACATGTTTAAGGTGGAATAATTATTTAAATATGGCGTTACGTGCGTTCTAGGCGGAATATTGTGACAAAATCTAGTACATGCATTTTGTATTCGCTGTATAAGACGTTGAGTTTTAGAATGCAATCGAGGTCCATACACTAAATCGCCGTAATTCAATTTAGACAAGATCAATGATTCACAAAGAGTGACACGAACTTCCTCATTCAGAAGATTTCTAATTTGATATAGAACTCTTAGACGATAATAGCAGCTTTGAACTAGTTTTAGAACATGAGTCTCAAAGCGTAGTTCACTATCGATTACTATTCCAAGATTCCTAGCTTCTTTAACATAGTCAATTCTTTCCCCGGAAATATATACGTCAGGATTCTGGCTAAATATAAATTTTACTTGTTTTTTAGATCCTAGAACCATGTATACAGATTTTTTGGGGTTTAACATCATTGCATTTTTAACCGACCAATTCGCAATACGTTAAAGATCCTCATTTAATTTTGAAACACTTCCTGAGACATTTCCGCGAGAAGCCGGGATATAAAGTTGAACATCATCTGCATAAATATGGTATTTGCAATGTTGTATCTGTTTTATAAAATCAGCACTATATAAAATAAACAGTAATGGACCGAGTATTGTACCCTGAGGCACTCCGCGCGTGACTTCCGAAGAATCAGAGAACGCAGGTCTACCAGCTCTCCCTACCAATTTAACAGTCTGTCTACGGTTATCGAGAAAACTCGTAAACCATCCGACTGACTGTTCGTCCAAACCGTAAAATGTCAATTTTGCCAGAAGTAGTGGAATACTGATACTGTCAAAAGCACGAGAGTAATCTAATAATGCTAGAAGTGATCCCTCTCCACTATCTTGACTCGTAAGAATATTGTCAACGACGTCCAATAAAGCGGAAACTGTACCTCTACCTTTGCGAAAGCCGGATTGCATCGCTGGCAAGATACAATTTTCCTCAACATACTTAGACAACTGGGTGTAAATAACTTTCTCCAGTATTTTCGACAAGTATGGAAGAACATTAACTGGACGCAAATCTTTTAGTTACTCGTTTTCATACCAATAAAAATACCTACCTTTTTTTAACAATTTCTATTATTTTACTATGAAGTGGAGATGACCGAGAATAAATAATTTTCAATGATTTTAAATTATATTTTTCTACACCTTCCGCTTTTGAGCAAAATCCGACAATTGATGGAACCAAGAATGCTACGTCAACCTAAAAAAAAATAGATATTACAACCAATTTAAGTAAATATTTGCTGTCAATAAACTTTCAAAATAGCTGTGATTTTGATATTTTTTTATAATGAATGAAAGGAATAAATCGTTATTATTCCCATCAAATATGTAAGTAGAGATACAATTTCATGTAAAAAAATAACTTTACGAGAAATTAAATTTAAAACATTAATCATTCAGTCACGATTTAAATGAATCATTTGAACATTACAAGTAACTATGACAAAGAGAGTGCTAAAGAGTGAAATCATGAGATAAATTATCTTACCTTGCATTCATCTACACATTTTAGAAATGATTCTAGTGTCGGTTCGTTAATGTAAACCACTTTTTTGCCGGCGGATAAGAATTTATACGTCATGAATGTATCATAATTGTGATACCACTCTCCATATACGAACGCTGTATGTAGTGATGGATCTTTGAAACTGGAACAAAGATATATGGTAAATATTTATCACTTAATTTATATAATATTTACTTTCATCAACTTTATTGTCATAAACATAATACAGATATTAGATATGCCACTATCATGATGTTTTACGATGTTATTTAGCAGAAAATGTATATTTGTTATGAATCATGTGGATTAAATATTTTAATGTCTATTAAGATATATAGTTATAATCATAGTTAAACAACATGATGTTAATATAGTGATAACGCCTTATAGTATTATGTTATCTATGTCTTAAATTAGAATCGAGTTCATTGAGCTTCCAATGTGATTAATTTTGTTTTTGAAAGAAATGTAATTAAATTCTTATGTATTTAAAACAAATGAAAGTTATCATCATGTGTTTATTTTAATTTTTAATAAACAAGATACAAAACAGAAAAATAGCTACATACTATTGTAGCTATTTTTCTGTTTTATATCTTGTTTATTAAAAAATATTGTTTATTAAATCTATTAAAGCAAGTTAATATAGAATGAGTATTATATTACAGTATATTATTATAAATATAAATGCTATAAAAAATTTCTATTCCTGTATATAAATACGAGTACTTACATGAAGTAGACAACAAGTTGTTTTGTTGATTTAAATATACATTGCTAATGTTGTTATAGGTAATGTTATAATAAAATTGAAACCAAAAATACTTACTCATTTGGTAAACTATTGAGAATACAGTTTAGATGTGTTAATTGAACTCCTTTTGGCATGCCCGTGGTACCGGACGAATACAGAATGAATGCAACATCAGTTTGACCTTGTACTATTGCTGGCGGTTCGAAGTGATTCGTGTTATTTTTACACGAAATCAAAGATTTTACAGAAAGTAACTGGTCTGTAGCTTCATCCAATGTTATAAAATACTTTATGCAATCAAACTCCGTCAAAATATCTTTGTATGAACTCCAAAATAAATTGCTACATATAAAGTACTTTGGTTTTGTTATGCTTAATTTATGTTTCAATATCGCTAAAAAAATAACACAAACTATGATTATGTTATATTACAAAAGAGCGTAAAATTGTAATTTAGAAAATATTTTCTAAGAGATTAGTATTTATTTAACCTAAGTAAACATCAATTTGAATGAATGAAGAAAGAAAATCGTACATATCATCAGATTATCAAAAATATTAAATAAATTTGATATAAGTCTCAAATACGTCTCTGTATATATATATATATTATATATATATATATATATATATATATATATATATATATATATATATATATATATATATATATATATATATATATCGTTTTCCAATGTCTTTTTGGTGATGTAGCGATTCAAATTAATAATAAAATAGATAACAAATAATTTAAGATTTTATTATAAAGGATAAACTAAAGACTACATAACCCATTTTAAAAATTCTTTATCTTTAAAATTGGTTGAGATTTAATCTACAAACCTATATTTACAAGCGATTGCAATATTTTTGGAAATGCTATCTATTCTTGCGAAGTAGGGACAGATTATTAGTAAATAATACAATTCTAACCTCTGCCACTTTTTAAATCATAAGGGGTGTATGTTGCGCCCGTGAATACTATAGCTAGAACAGTAGGCACGAATTCCAAGCGTTTTTCAGCACCCACGGCAACTACGTCGCCTTTTTTGACACCAATCGTAGCTAATGATATTGACAGGTTGACTGCATAATCAGTAAGTTCTTTGTAGGTAAGTTTCTCATGAGTATCTCCATTTTCCTAAGCAAAAAAAGAAAAGAACATAGAATGATCAAAATGTTATTGTTTTAAAATTCGTCCAAAATAGGATAGGCAAAGAGCATGGTCTTATACATACTATACATATGTAATCTAGTCATATTATCAATGTAAATACTGAAAAATTTTTATTTTATTTCTGTTATTTTTACTTATAATTTACTAGTGGGAGCGCACCTAGTCTATACAACACATTAATTTTTCTGCCGAATCCTAAAGGTACCTTTTTTGTCTATAAGTAATAATTACAATAATGTTGGCATTATTATGTAAAATAGTTTAAGAAAAAAAGAATCAATTTTTAAATAAAAATGTGATTGCATTAGCTGAGACAATCACGTGCAAATATTTAATTAAAATAAATGTATCACACGAACAATCACGAAAAGTAAGTCGGTTTAAAAATTCGCTTTAAATGTTTTATCAACAATATTATTATTACATATTTTTTATAAGTAATATAATATTATTAATAATTACATTAAAAACCAATTACCTGTTTTCTTAAACTGTTGATATCTGGTTATTGAAAATAATTGTATAGGTATTTATTTTACTCTTAGATTATATATATAGATATAACATCGAGCATCAAAAACGGCTCAACTAATTATTTATCACACAAAATTGTATGAAAAAGTTGACTTGATTTTTTAAAAGCATTTGTATGGAGACACTTTATTTATATAATCTAAGATATACAAAAGAATTTGAGAATACGTAAAATAATGCTTTAAGCAATAAATATTAAAATATTTTTTCATGTGCGTGTCATGCATGTGAATTTATTATTAAGAAAATATTTTGACATATATGTATTTTTAAATTTAAAATAAAAAAAAACATCGTTAATGATTAATTATTATCCGTAATAAGAATTAAAATTATTTTCTTAATAATTTTATTTAAAAAAGGAGGTAACATTATTTACATTTAAATGTATATTGTAGTTTAAAACTTACCAGTGCTACTTCATTATTCATCAATCGTAGCCGGTCCAATATATATTTTCCAAAATTCAAATGGGCCGGTACTTCAACATTCTGGTCACCGTAAATATAACGAGAATCGTAGAACATACTGATAAACGAGAGAAACTAGACGTCTCACTGTATTGGCTGCAGAGATGTAATGGATACCGTTACCGCAGTGTTATGCTAATATATATCACATCATATGATGTGAGTTTTAATTTTATGCTGTATTCTTGGAATCATTGTGTCATTTGAATACCCATATGGTTAAATAATCCTTAGAAGAGGGCGCTAATTTACTTATCGTTATGCTAATTTAAATTATGCTCTACGTAACGTGCAAGATTACAGCCATTTTTGTTTTTATGATTACCCTATAAGTATTTGATTTTATGACTCTTATTTATAAGAAAACGTGTAATATAATTTACTAGTTTAAAGCTTAATATATAAAATGAACATCATTTACAAATAGTCAATAATTGGAAAAAAAAATAGAATACAATTAATTTGTACAGTAACTAATTTGACTTACATTTAAAATAGGTATTAAGACAAATTTAAGAGAATTAAGTTTTAAACAAATTTTCAATATCAATATATAAATAAATATTTTTCAACCATTTTTATATTAAGCATAATAGACGATGCCCTCAATTCTTAGTAGGATTACAATAATTCCCATAAAATTTTGTGCTCGAAAGGATTTAGCTGGTTAAACATATTATGAAAACTGCACTCGAATCTGATGCAGTGTTCTTACCTTGTTTTTATGGTTTTTTATGTAAAATAGCCATACTCTTAAGCTTACACTCCTAACTTTTGCAGTAAGTGAATAACTGAGGTTTTTATAAACCCTTAAGGATTTTTTTTTTCAGTATCTTTTGAGGATATTTTTGTGAAATTGTAACTGTAAATAACTATATATAAACTAATTACACACACACATATATATAAAAAACGAAAAGTATATTTTTTAAGTGCAGTTGCATATGCTTAACTATATATATATATATATATATATATATATATATATATATATATATATATATATATTATCATAAAATAATTATATTAATTGATTTGTAAATATTTGTTTAAAACTATATTAAAAATACGTATATTTTTAACCAGTTAAAGTGGCTCCCTATCCGACTTCGACATGATATGCACATCCTTTCTTTCCTTTATAACATACTCAATAACCCCAACTCTCCATCGTACCTCTGCTCCCGGTTTAAATATTACCACCAACAGTCCGTCCTAAACGCTCCTGTCAAGTTCAGTCCAGTATGTGTGTATACACACTAAGTGTCCAGTTATGGAACAAATTGAGAGTCCTTTGAAATAAATCAACTTTCCCTTCTAATTGAACTGTCAAATAAACCATTAAACGAAATTTCTAATGTAAGTAGTATATTCATTTATTTTAACATTTATTATATAAGTACAAATAATATCATTATATTATTATAAAATTTTATTATACATTTTAATATTTTATTTAACTGTATAATTGATTTGTAAATCTTTATATTGTTTAAAATTATATTAATATTGATGTTGTAAATGATATATATGTGAAAAAATGATGATGATATGATGTATGTAGTAAAAAAGCTGGTATTAAATTGCATGACAATTGATTTTAGTATTAATTTTCTTATATATTGTATTCTATTTGTATATGAAACCATTTCTTTAATTATTATTTATAGTACTTTATTGAACTGTGTCATTTCGTTTACCGGTGAGATCACCTCGTGAATGATTGAATGCAGTTTAGGAATTCCAAAAATGAATTCTAGCTTAAAACTCTAAAGTTTTTATAGTATATCCTTATAATAAATTTAACACATAAAGTATTCATTTTTATTTTATAATAGTAATAAATCTATTGACATCTGAGAGCACTTTGTTCGTACTTCTATCATGTCGTTGATTTGTTATGAAAATGACGTCTCTTTGATGCGTTATCTTTAGATTTTATATTACACTAGATACTTTATGTTTACTTAGTTCCTTATGATGCGGGCTTTATTTACATTTTTTCGTTATAATCCTTACTAATATTATAATTATGACAGTAAATTTGTGTTTGTTACCTTATAGTGATTTAACGGGTTAATCAATCACTATAAATTTCGGTATACACATACTATATGGGTGGGAGAATGGTAAGTGATATAGGCTGCTTTGTATAAAAGTTAATAATGATATAAATTTGAAAGTCTGTGTGTTTGTTTCTTCATAGCGTCTTAATGGCTTAACCAATAATTATGAAATTTTGTATACAGGTATTATATTGAATAGAGAAGGATATAAGTTTTTTATTCCAGTTAGTGAACATATCCCAGTTATGCGTATGCAGTCGCTGATTAAATCTAGTTATGAATATATCTAAGTATGTACATACTTACACATAAGTTATAAAAATTCTTTTTTACACTTAATTTAGTATTTGGTTTAAATAAGTTATTCATAAAAAATCAAAATCTTCCTCTAAGCAAAATTTTTTTCTGCGTTACATTTATTTGAAGTTCTACCAAATTCTACAATAACACAAGGCTAATTTGTGACTATCACGCGTATGCGTCTACACGCACTGGATGACCTCACAACCAAATAAGTGACAAATACAATCTGTGTAATGTTGGCTCAACTATTGCTCACGTATTGCTCATATATCATTCATTTCGTGGAGATTAAGGAATAACATCTAACCACACAAGGAAGGTAACAGAAATCATTATAACACAGAGTAGACGTTTCCTGGCAAAAAATAAAATAGTAGTTGAATTGGAAAATATCATAATTATTAATATATTATAATAATAAACGTACCTATGTAAGAGAAAGTCCGTATCTCACAAAATATTTAATGAACGTAAACAAAACTATTATTAATAAAAACAATTCTTTCAATGAACTTGTGTACCTATTTGATTGTTTTTTAATTGATATATATGTTGTTAATTGTTGGAGTTTCCAACACAATAATTTAAATCTGTTACATAGTGATTATTATACTAACAACAAAGTTGCTTTTGTCGTACAAATTCATCAGAATATATTCGTATTTATAGAGTCAGAAAAAAGTCTATAGGTGCTTGTATTATGGTTGTTGGTTATGGACAGGATTTTATGCAACCTTTAAATGGCTTACAATGGCAATTAAGCTGACGATCCGTTCAGTTATTTAAGCGTAATTGAGGAACGAATATTCAAAAACTCTCACGTAGTATGTGAGAGTATTAATAATGATATATGAATATTTGTGAAAACATTTAATTGTTTGTTACTCTATTAGGCTTAAGTAGTGGAATGAATTTGAATTTTGTAACCTCTTGACATTTTAATGGTTCAACCAATCGTAAGTAACTAAGAATTTGCTATAGACATTCTGTTTTTGGATAGGATATAGAGTTATATAGATAATATTTCGGTCAAGCAAATGAACTGGATATATATATATATATATTTATTTATTACAACCAATATAAAATATATATATATATATATATATATATATATATATATATATATATATATATATATACTTTCAACAACACATCCAAAAATACATATATTCACTACGGGCTCAATGAAATAAGAGTTTCAGAATAAATATATATATTATCCTTTAATACATAGTTAAATGGAACTATAATATAAATCTAGTGCCTTTATCATTTAGATACATGAAATTATTAATTCTGATCGTGATTATGACTAGTGCATTGATATTGAAACGTCGAATAAAGTAAATATATACTTTGTTTACCGTTAAACTATCCGCGACACATTGATCGAGTACATCGGGTTAAACCTATTTAACATTGCATTTCATCTTAATGTCCTTTAGAATGGTTAAAGTTAAAGTGTAGGTAAGATCAATAAACTTTTAATTGATCATTAATATTATCGAAACGTAAGAGACCCATTTGAACTCATTCATTATTACCATTGTCTCTGTTGTTGATTGTTATAATTATTTTTAATGAAGATTTTGCAGTAAATTTAAATAGGAAATCTTGCAAATATTTAAATTTATATTAAGTACTTCCCTATCAGCCGCATCTGTCAACTGATGAACATAGGCGTCCCCCATAAGGGGGGTTTGCCAGTAGTTACCACAATTGGCGGACGGGTTGGCAACCGCAGTTAGGCTTTGGTGACGTTTTAAGAGAGACGCTGCCGCCCAACTCTCGACTATTAAGTTCCATTAGTCGTCTTTTACGACACTCACGGGAAAGAAAATGGTGAACCATTCTATGTCAGAACCATACGACAAATATTGACTATTTAATGCGATCTAATTACAATATTATTTATATTATTCTTGGTAGCGTAATCACAGAACACAAAGGAATACCTTAGTTCTCAGGAATAGAGTTTGGGGTTGTACATAGGGGGGTTTTTGATTGCCATGAAGTCAGTCTTTTTGGCACTTCCAATGTCATATAACATCATCTTTGATAAATTACGCAAATTAATAGACGAAGATGACAGTAGAAAACAATTTTTAATCCACCGTACCTACGGGTAAGTATCATTTGTCTAAAGTCTCCTTGGGATAAGCTTTAAAAACTAATTTAAATGCATCAATTAATAAAAATTGGAAAGTTTGGACTTACTTTGTTTAATTGATTCAAAAATAACCTACAATATACCAACATCAGGTTCAGATCAAATTCTAAGCTGTCTCTCATAATTTTTTTTATACAACTTAGAATGGCAAACAAGCTGACGGCCCACCTGATGGAAAGTGGTAACCGTCGCCTATAGACATGAGCAGTACCATGTTCATAACAGAGTATACTGTTTCGCCCATGATACCTCCCATGTGTTGCCATTCCTGGGGACTCAGGTGTTATTCCACTGTACCCTGTAAATCCATGCAATACCCTTCAAACTGAAACACAGCTATGCAAACACAACTGCTTCACAGTAGAAACACGAATGGGACAGAGGTACCCAAGCAATCGACTTTTGTACAAAGTCTCCCTCTGGTAATAGTGAATCCCTTATAGTGAATTTGTCACGAAAGGCCCGTTAGCGTGGCTTCATACTATCTATCACCTCTCACTGATATCCTGTCAGTATATATTAATAACGTAAGCAGGGTAACTATTATATTTTTG